CTTTCATCACTCTGATATATATATATATGATATAATGATATATATGAAAGAACTTTGAAATGCTCAAATATGATTTCTTAATGGGAAGCAGAACCATATCTGCAATGGTCAGAGATACATGTGGAGCAATATGGAGAGTGTTACAACCTTTACAATTGCAACCACCATCATCAAAAGAACGATGGCATGAAATAGCCGAAAATTTTAACAGCAAAGCTAATTTTCCGAATTGCCTAGGAGCGGTAGATGGCAAACACATTCGACTTATTCGTCCACTGCATAGTGGTTCCAACTATTATAACTATAAAACATATTTTTCTTTAGTTCTGTTGGCTGTAGTTGATGCTGACTATCGTTTTATTGCAATTGGCGTGGGTCCATATATGGGAAAGAAAGTGACAGCAGCATTTTTAATGATTGGACCTTTGGAAAAAAAACTTGCTAACAATGAGCTGAATTTACCCAGCCCAAAAGCGTTACCACATACAGACTTGCCACAGTTGCCACATGTATTTCTGGGTGACGAAGCTTTCCATCTAAATAAAAATTTCTTGAGGCCTTTTCCGAGAACAAATTTGATTCAACAACGTCGATTTTTTAACTATAGACTGAGTCGCCCCTAGAGTGCACCTTTGGCATACTTTCGAACAAGTGGAGGGTATTTCATACTAGTATGACTATTCCGGCTGATTTTGCAGTATTGGTGACAAAAACAGCTTGCGTATTACATAATTTTGTACGGGCAAGAGAAGACTATAGGCTTCACGTTAAGAAGATAATGGTAATTTTGTATCTCCAACATAACAACGTTAAAATTCCCATTGAAATGCGTTCAACAGCAATGAAACTAGTAACATTTCATTTTGTAAGTTGCTCAACTGATAATAAAATTTCAGACGTTGCCGAATCGAAAAAAACTGGAAAACTCAGTCTTTCTTTTCTTTTCAGAACTAATCATTTCTTTTGATAAGACCTGCGTATATTCAATATGCCTAAAGCATTATCGAAATATTCTCAACAAATACTAAAAGTAAGTTAAGTAAGTTAAGGATAATAGCAATAAAACATATCAACAGTACAAAAAAAATAGAAAGTTCGAAATAGTGCACATGTTGGCAACGCCGTAACTTGTCATCTTGTGACGTCATTCTCTTTTTAACGTGAACAACCTATTTAACTTTGAAGATTCTCTTACTCATCATTTTGAAGATAATCTATTTCGATGTCCACAACATAGATATACTAATCAAAGCCGAAATATAGTGCCTTTAACAAAACTTAAAATAACTCAAAATATCCCAAACCTTACAGCTCTAGAAATATTTAATTCGATCCCGGAAAACATAAAAAGTAATAGCTCAATTTCATTTTCAAACAAAATCTGAAAGATTTTCTAGTGCAAAATTGCTTTCACTCTATAGACTAATTTTTAGAACATCACTTCTGAGGGATTTTTTTTTCTCATCTATTTATGTACTATGTACCTACTTATTTTCTTTAGATTATCTATTATATATAACCGTTTGTATGTTTTTTATGCGGTGTTTGCTATTCGTTTGTTGATGGTATATGCACTTTATATGAAACCCTTCCTTTGACTTTTTCCATACAGCCTGTACTGTCTGAAGGAAATAAAATCATATTATTATTATTATTATTATGTATTTGAGCCTCAGATGCTGCCCTATCTAAGACATTACCGTCTTTAAATAAGACGTCACTGGAGAACGTTCTTCCTTTGCCTAACAAAATTTTTAGAATTTTATTCTGCAAAGTATCCAGACATTTCAAGTAATACTATAAGAGAGTTGCGATTGAACCAAACCATAATACATATAATAGGGAATTTCGAGCCTTTGTTTCAATAGTTTCAAGCGAAACAAAAATCCTCGTTATTTTTGAGTTACATATAAAACGTGTGAATCCCATTTCATGTGTTGATTGATCATTAAACCAAGGTATTTGATTGAGGTACTTTCTGTAATAGATAAGTTCAATGATGTTGATGTTTTAAATCAATTGTTATTTTTAGGTGTATCTGGTTTCATTTTATATGGATTCACCTTAGCAGCTTGTTGGTCATGGTCAATTGTTTTGTTTATAGAAAAAATGACAGGACTGGTAAATATTTAATAGTATATGGGGGATTGCTTGATCAACGATTTTAATTTTTTAGGCATGGCTCTTAGTACTAATTGCATCGATAACATCTCTGGGAGTAAATCTCACTTTTTGGATTATCAATCGCGTTGCTGGCTATCTGTCAGTACCTGCCACAATATGGATCCTTTTTCTATTCATTTGGAATACAACTTTATCAAATAAGCAAATGTAAAGATTTATATTTTACTGGGAATACCGTCATCAAGAAATGTTGAAACAAACATTATTCATTAAAAATTATGAAAGAAAGAAATGAAAGAACAGGGGTAAAGCAATCAGAAGAATGAGTTTTTTTTATACTCATACAAATTATAATTTATAATGTTCACTTTCTCCCTCTTAGCAGATATTTCATCATAATTTGATTGAAATTTTTAAATTATTATCATGGTTAATTGATAAGTTTTCATACAGAAAAAAACAAGAGGAATTCAATGCACCTTCTATAGAATATTGCTAGAAAGGTTATATTTATATTATAAAACAGCCTAACACTCCTTTTATTGAATTGTAAAGTTTCTATAACCCTTCGATATTACATAATTATAATGCAAATGGAATAATCAAATTTCAAACCAGTTCAATTTTTCAACTGGGAAAAGGGTTTTCAGTAGGTACAAATAATTGTATTTTCGAAATCTCAATAAAATTGTCAATAATTTTCTTTATAAATATAAAGTTATTCCGGAACGGGAGTTTCCAATATAATAAACAAGATGCGGATTTTGAAAAATATTACAAAATCACTGAACTCAGTTTTATAGCAATGTTTTCATTTTGCTAATTATCTCATTATAAAGTAGAACTTCATGTGATAATAGTTGTAAGTTCATTAAGTCATATAATAATGAGATCTACACTTATCCTACAAGAAACGTGAACAATTTCCATATAGCTCGAACTTGAAATGTAAGCTCAATGAAGACATTTTTTTTTATTGATTTGGTAGTTACTTGATGAAAATCCATAGTAATTTCGAAAACTACACCTCATGATTTGATCTCCACAAACTTTATTTGAAAAATATATTACAACTGCTAACTCAGTAGCTTTATCAAGTGATTTAAATGATAAAGCTACTGTGGAGATCAAATCATGAGGTGAAGTTTTTGAAATCAATGAAAACATTATTTTTCAAGGGCTTAAGTGATTTAAGTAACCTCTCAAATGAAGTGAAAAATTCACCGTTTGTAAACACTTTCAAAATTCGTCTGAATGAATTGATTTCACCACTGTACATGTAAAAAGATGAATTATGGAGCATGTGTGTGAGTGTATTGTGTTGCTCATGTATACTGAGTGTACATGAGTATACTATGTGTATATTTTAACATTCTTTATATAGCATTAATTATTTTTTTATTACTAATCGTTATAAATGTATGTAAATTAGTATGTTCCTATTTCAAATAAAGATTATTATATAATATGATTTCTACATGTTGTGTGTTTTGTTATTAATAAATTAGTTTTGTTTATTACCCTTTAATCGTTGAATGCAGGTACTAACTACAAAATAACAATAAATCCAGTTCGCATTTATGACGATGTATCTCTGTAGTTCGTAAAATAATTTTTTGCTGCGAACTGGTTTATTTTGGGTAAAAAACCCAAGAGACATTTTTTGTTTAGAATGAAACAGACTCTCGGAAATAAATTTTTAAATGGTAAACAAATAATAAGACAAAAAGTTACATTGGAAATACATTTTAGGGGCTGCGTTTACCACCCCTTACAACAATGGGGTAAACCAAATAAATTACTGGCTAAGTGTCTTTTTCGTAGTACAAAACGTCAGGTTAATTTCAATATTGTAACTTTTTCAGTGCTTGTGAAAAAAATTGTTATACAAATTTTATGTACCCCCTTTAAGGGGCTGTATCTTAACAAGGGATGCTCCAATGAAGTTTCTTTATATGAAAGATGAGGAATCACCTCGTTAAATGTTTTACACTTATTCAGTTACACCCTGTATTATAATTTGTACATACATTTTTTTTCATCACCGATGTTTCTATAACCATTTCAATTCAGTTTATTCTTCCAAGCAAAAAATAAATTCTTATAATTAGGGACTAAAACTATGTACCATTCTCAAGTACGAATAAAGTTTCTAAGAGAAGTAGACGTTTTATTGAAATCGAAAACTGCAGTATATTCTAACATTTTGGAAAAGAATGGTTTTGACTTTCTACTTCTCCATCTTGATACAAAAAATGTGGGAATCTTCCAAAGAAAGGAAGGAAGCAATCAATTTTAAAAAGGTAACTTAATACATTTCTTTCCCAAAAAATTAATCTCTCCTAAAAATATACCCCTTTCAATTTAAATTTTTAACCTTTTTTGAAGGTATGCTAGAAGATTTGGCTTATGTTCAAAAGCAAGTATGATAGAAAATAATGACAAGGTAAAAAAGTTCGTTCGATAAGTAAAATACTGGGAGCAGTAAATTTCAAATTCAATAAAATCAAATCTTTACACACTAAAATTATATTACCACTGGTAAAATTCCTGATGTCTGCTAATTTTGTGCCTTTCAAATGCAAGTTTATAATATTTTTAATATAACTTTGAATATATTTCTCAAGTCATTATATATTATGTATGTTTGAATTATAATGTATTAGTCTAGTTCACATGTACTTTTTTTTTAACATTTTTCAGCCCTGGGTGTCATTCGATTCGTATTTTTGCCTAGAAAGTTTAAGGAAAGGTCCGAAAACGCGTCGATAAAAATTACAAAAGTTATAAACCATTAAGTGAAAAAAAAATGGGGCTTTAACATTTTTTGACTGTGGATTATTGTTTATTGATGTATCCGTGTTAGGAATCACACATTAAAAGGTAAGACCTCGTTAGTCCTTAGCTCGCACAAGTTTCTCAACTTCTGAGAGTTGTCGTTCGTATGGAGGCGACAGCTGATTAACGGAAAAACATATTTTAAACAAAAACAGATTACATAAGTTTTTCATTCCTTAATATTTACATTTAATATGTTTAAATAGTTTTTTTTGTTTTTATGTCAGAGGGACGAAAGGCGCGCGGAAGCCAGACTAACCGCTTTTGGTTCTATTTTCAGGGCTCTGTAAAAATTATAAATAATCGAGATACAGTTTCGGGAGTCGGGACTTTTTTTACGCAAATTCATAGATCTTTTCAAACCTATTTTTCAAATTTCCAAAATTTTGAAAATTTTCCGAGATATTAAGAAAAAACTAAAGCCCCATTTCTTTTTCACTTAGTTGTTTATAACTTTTGTAATTTTTATCGGCGCGTTTTCGGACCTTTCCTTAAACTTTCTAGGCAAAAATACGAATCGAATGACACCTTGGTCGTAATTTTTGGACAGGGCTGAAAAATGTCACCAAAAAGAGCTAAATCGAGTACATGTGAACCAGACTATATCTGGAAACTAAATGAATGTATATTTGGGAATGATGTAAGATTTTGCAATTCGAAAAGTATATAGAAAATAATGTTCATCATTATCCTTTGAAAGACAATTTTTTATAGACGAGTCAGTATTTCTTGCTGCTTTTCTGGGTTCTTGACCTCCCACAATCTTGAACATTCACAAAGCTGAATCTCAGAAGAGAATATAGCCTACCTTGGTATTTATGGAGTTATTCAAAAAGTAGCTAGACCTCAACTACTTGATATTCGTCATGACTGGGTGTGGGTATGGAAAATACTTTTATTCTTCGTATTTGTTACTTCACATAAGAGCGACTCAGATTAAATGTTAATTCTTGTGCGTTAACGGAACAATTAATTCATAGAATAAATTTCGAAAACCCACATATTTCAGATATAGAAATCAATACAACTGAAAGAATATTTTTAGAAGTGATACATATTATTCACAAAGAATTCTCAATGAATAAAATAAACTGACATTGAAAATCTTAACAAAACCTACACACACCTACTAAAATATGAAAAAGAGAATAAAAGATCAAGTAGTATTCAGAATTTTCCCACTTGACACTGTCAGTAAAATTTTGATAAATTTCGTCATTTTGTTTTTCATAACCCTTTTTAAGCCATTTTATATTTTATTCTCACATAAGTAAGTATATTTTTACAAGATATATAACCTTATTATTGTAGTTGTCCTGACGAAGGAGCATATATGTACGACATGCTCAGGGTTGCCGCTTTCCTCTCATGCAGACCTACAACTTTGTAGGTACGTGTGGCAGATACCCAACGGTAAAACAACAACCCACCCAGTTAATGCCGGGCAGAGAGTTGAAATAAAACCATCAGGCACCTGTGCTTCTGCTTCGGGGTGATTGCTCCATCATCAGTATCAGGCATGGTCTCTTCAGAACGGTGTATGCTTGTGAAATTATTTCCTGACTCTGTCTGCAGGTGGTGCAGTGGACATCCCACTGAATCAACTGCAGAGAGATTAACTAAACAGTTCGATATTTCACCTAGTGCATATTTCGAGATAACTCGATCCTCAAAAGTCAAAACTTGTGATCTACGAATTAATGAAGTCTTCCATTTGGAAGATACATAAAGAAATCACATTAGGAAGTTTATAAAACATGTAATGTAATATTGGAAGGTATTAGAATTCACTCTCAATAATTATATTGATAAAATAGTGTCAGGGGCGTATTGTATGTATGCAACCATTGAAAATGTTCAAATTTTCTTTTAAATATTTTTGTTTCAAACTTGAAAGGAAAAAACCACTAAGAGGTTCTACGTAGGTAGAAGTCAGGCATCTGTCCCTTTTTTATATGAACTCTTGCATGGTGAAATTTAGTGAGATAAGTTCATCTTCAATTAATATCTCTGTTACTAGAATATCATCTAGACAAAAATTTGTTTGTCGTGTGTAAGTGAGCTCAATCTGATTTGATATTCAAAGCGCCGATTGATGGAGTGTATCATAACTTTAATATGTCCTAAGTAAGGTCGATGAGGTGTCCCCTTACGAAGATGCCAACTATGGAATCGACAGAGACTTAGAATATCAAAGAAAAACGAGGCTCCTCAAGACGATCAATGGCAAAACAAAACTTCGACATCAACCGCCGACGAGACTCATGCTTGGTTTTTCACTGCAAGGCAACTAGTTGAAAACCAGAGATCAAACACAACGAATTTATGACTCAACACCAGACAGAGCTACTTCGACCTGCCGTAGGTCTCATCAGTGGTGCTAGGCTGAACCACAAATACCCTGCTGGACTCAACTGTCCCAAAATGACAAGTCTGAGTAAGTAAGGTCAATTACATCTCACCTTATGGGGACGCCATCCAGAGCCAGAGCCACTAACAGAAAGAATAAAATCTGGACTTTTAGGCTGTGGTCGGCCACAGATTAATAGCGCTGAATTTGTCCCTCTTACAAAGCTTTGATATGGAATTAGTTGGGCTGTTTTGATTGAAAAATAATCATGTATAAGGTAATCAATTTATTTTGTAATATATATAAAAAATCGTTCCACAACAAAAAAAACAAAATATTTGCACAAAATATATTAAGAAAATAATAAAATCATAGATGGAATAACAAAAATTGAATAAAACTGCTATTTACCACCAAAACCACTCATTAGATTTCCTAAGCCACCCATACCGCCGGCGGCACCAGCTTGCAGCTGTCTCATCATGTTTTGTAATCCTGACATACCTCCCATTTGATGTAATACTCTGGGATCCATCATCTTGGCCATCTGTTGATTAAGTTTGGCCATTTGGTTGTGATTGACGTTTTTAGCCATATCACCTCCTTTGAAGAGTCCTTTAATACCACCCATTTTCTTCACCACAGCAGCAAACTTCGTGTATTGAGCGATCAGTTCTTTTACTTCCCTTTCTACAATAAAAGAAAAAAAACATTGTGGATAATTATATAATATCTGAAAAATGATTACAGTATTAATCAAATGGAAGTACAATTACTCTTTTTTAACAAAGCCACGACATCATTGGAGTTATTAGTAAGTGATTTCAAGTTTCAGGATAGAACAGCAGCAGTTCAGTAAAAAGCCAAGCTATGAGACCTTTATCGTGACAGCACAATTAGTGTTGTATTTGAGAGCTTTGTTTCTGAGCTCTGGTTTCAAGTATTTGCTTTGTAGTGAAATCTGCAGGGACAAACAGAGGATGAGTCTCATTTGAAGGAGCTTGGCTTTGCAATGTACCACCTATGGAAGCCTCATTTATAAAGGATTTTTGTAGTATGGAGTTGTGTTTTGCAGTGAGAATAACATATAAGGATCTTGGTTTGTCTGCCGCTAAATCGGTTTATTTCTCACTTGTTGAGTCACATTTAAGATATAGAATTCCTTTCTGGGGAGTATGTTGCAAAACTCAAATGCAGACGGTGTTCATCATTCAGAAAAGGGCTATAAGATAGATATCACGCTCACGACAGCCGAAATATCAAACAAAATCCAAGACTGGCAAGTCTCGGACCATATCTCTATGTCAGACCACCGCTGGCTGACCTATACGATAAGCCAGGATCTCAGGACTACTGTAAAATCCCGTGACCTGAAGAGGACGGATGTAGCTCTCTACAATCGACTCTTAAGAGGAGCTCTGCGGGAAACAGAGGTCCTGACTCCTGGCAACAATGAAGAATTGGAAAGGTACACAGTATCTATCCACAACAAAATAGACACTGCCTATAAGGAATCCTGTCCAATGAGGATGGTTCAAACGCATGGCACAACCAACACATGGTGGTGCCCTGAATTGGAACACCTCAGGAGGACATCGAGAACGACCTTTAACAAGGCAAAACGTACAAGACTCGAAGAGGACTGGGTTATATATCAAGCCAACCTCAGAGAGTTTAAAAAAGTCTGCAGGCGAAAACAATGAGAAGCCTGGAGAGCCTATTGAGAGGCAGTCGAAGATTTTCCACTAGCTTCTAGGCTACAGAAGGCACTCTCAAATGACCACCATAAGACTATTGGCATCCTGCCCCCTACTTCAGTGGGGACTGGACACTCTTATGCCACACCTGGTTGGAATATTCAGAGCCTCTCTAGCTCTTCCCAGTAAGTGGAGAGAAGTAAGAGTAGTATTTATACCCAAACCAGGTAGGATGGACTACACCCTACCAAAAGCATTCCGACCAATTAATCTCACATCGTTTTTCTTAAAAACCATGGAGAGGCTATGTGAGCGGTACATAAGAGATGAAGTACTTGTTAACAACCCACTTCATCCGAATCAGCATGCATATACCCCGGGAAGGTCTACTAATTCGGCCCTTCACCATGTGGTTGGCAGAATCGAGAGATCATTGGACAACAAAGAATCCACCCAGACTGATGAAAATTTGTAGCTTTGTCAATAAGACCTAATGTTCTTTGGGCAATGAAGCATATTATTATCATTATTATATAGTTTGACATGGGAAGTGATAGTTTTGAGGATAACACTTTCTTGAGAAATAATGTTTTATGATAAAACTGTGAAAGAAAAATTGATTTCGTTCTGATTCAGTATTAGTAGGAAGTTTTTTCAGAAATATTCCTCCCAATTTGAATGCATATATGATTCATAATATATGTTTTCCCTAAGAGTTTTGATGAAAAATTTTCAATATTTCTCTATAGTACAACATTTATTTTTGCATTAATTCAATTTTGAATTGACTTCCAAAAAATTTTGACTCTCTAATTTGTCAAGCTTTCTACTTTTTGATGCCATTGTAAGTGAATAACTGTCATCTGACCAACTTTGCCACTTCAATTTACTTATTTCATGTTATACTTAACAGTATCTATTATTAATAATAGAACACCAAAATCAACATAAAACATGTAATGATAGGAATGCTAGAGGTGATTGTTAATGTTGATTTTTGGTAGAGATATTATAGACTCAATGTGAAAATTTGTTCAACAGAAACATTATTTTTTATTATGAATTGATTTTTCAACGAATGGAAGAATCAATTAACATTAATTGAACTATAATTGTAGTTAATAGTTGTATTCCGTATGCAATTCTACCATTTCCCTAAACCTAAATGACAGATGCCGAAAGTTTGACTTTTAACAAGTTATGTGGCAAAAGCTATATTTCAGCCTTTGGCATTCTTTGAAATATTTCTTAGTTGTGTTCTAGTAGAACTCTTGCACTTCCATCATCTTATTTTCATCAGTTCCTACCTGTTACTCCTGATCCTTGTGCAACTCTTGTGACCCTACCGTTCTGTTTAGTGAATAACTTAGCACCATCTCTGTTATCCAATTCTCCATCATTCATACTATCCATAATTGTCATCAACCTCTTTAATCTGTTCATTGATTCCTGTTCACTGCCTTTTGACATAAAATCTTGACTGAATCCTGGAATCATGCCCTGGGAAATGAAAATATTTAGAAATATTAGTCCAAACATTCAGAAAATGGTTACTAACCATTATTTGGGAGAATGGGCCCATTTTCATAATATTTTGAAATTGTTCGTACATATCTCTCAAAGTGAACTGTCCATGTTTAATTTTTTCCAATAATTCCTCATTATCTTCCAATTTCAGCTCATTCACCTTATCGATGAGACCTTCAATATCTCCCATTCCTAACAATTTACTGATGAATGGTTTCGTCTTGAAAGGTTCTAGATCATCAATGTGTTCTCCAGTACCAATAAATATGATAGGACTATTTGTAGCTGCAACCCTGAAAAAAAATTAAATACAATTTTTTTTAAAGACAAAACACAAGCACTACTGGGAAATCCTTAAGGCGCTCTTAGAGTGGTGCCTGTGCGAAAGTAGTGATTTACATTGGCTTTGAGTTGTTGGAATCCATTTGGAAAAACGTTCTCAGAAAGTTCATTCCACTAAAGCGCAGTTCTCCAAATGAAAGAGTTCTGAACAGTGAAGTTCAAAACAATGAGCAGCCACAGTCCGTCGCGTATTTCTAATATGTACCGTTCTTGGTGGAATCAAATGTGGCAAGTCACTTTAACATTTCCCGTGGAAGTATCTATAGATAAGAGACAAATCTCCAACCTTTTTTCGATGTTCCAGACTATTAAGGTCGCAAGTGATGTTCGCGTCTCCAATCAGGCGGATGTCTCTTTTCTGGATGGAATCCTGCAGCTTCAGGGTACGCTTAGGGGCGGAGCTTCATACATGAGAACAATACTCCAAAGGAGTACTGATCTAAGCTTTATGAAGATCAAAAGTTGCTGAAGTGTGTACAGTGTTCTGGTTCAGAACATTGTTCCAAGCGTTTGAGAATCGGCTTTTGCAATCCCAGCGACATTATTGTGCCAAGACATATTGCCTATTTTAACCCCTTAACCCCTAACAAACTTATCGAAGCAGAAAGTGGAATTGTCTGACCTGACATTATTATATCCGGTTCGGAGACATTTAGCTTTTTGCAGAGAAGCAATGCCTGGGTTTTTGTGGCAGTGAATTTAATTTCACCCCAATTTGAAATTACTTCTAGATTCTTATCAAGATATACAGCAGGAGATTGCATTCCTGCAGCCAGAGAAAATGTGCATCCGCCGCCGATGTCCTGGAATCCAAATAGAGTGACGAAACAAGCAACATATTAGATTCTTGTTTTTTTTCCAAGAGGTCGTTGATATACAATAGAACGACGTTTGGATACAATATAGATCACTGGGGAACACCAGCGTTGATGGTAAAAGTATTCAAGAGATATCCGTCGACGGCCACTTGCAGGGAACTTGAGAATTAATTTTGGAAAACAAAATCATAACCAATATACATTTTTTCAATCGAGTAACACCATAACTTACGCACTGAGGGCTCCTCCACCTTTGGCGTGTCCATCTAATTTTGTGATTATTACTGAACCAACATCAACTTTTTGTTTGAAAGCTTTAGCTTGAGATTCGCAAGCTTGACCAATAGTGGCATCCATGACGAAAATGATATTGTCAGGTTTCTAAAAAATCATTTACTCAAAACAGACAACAAATGACCAAACCTCAAAAAATATATGAATATTACTCACCACAGCGTTAGAAACTGCTAACATTTCTTCAAATAATGATTCTTCTTGTTTGTGTCGACCACTTGTATCAACAATTATAATTTCAAAACCTTCTTTTTTAAACATGTCTACACCATCTTGAGCAATAACAACAGGGTCAACTTCTGTGTAACTGAAAAAGCAATTCTTGTTATAATAGTGAACTATTTCATTATTTGTATGGCAAAATAAAATACTTAGACACCTACCAATTGTGAAGAAATATTACTACAAAAAAATAAGATTGAAAAAGGTTCATGAGTAAAATCACAGAAAAAGAAATTACTTTTAAACATTCATATAATGTATATTCCTGAAGAGAAAAGTATTCATTTGTTTTTGGTAAATCTACTCTAAGCTGCCCACTAATATGAATGTCATCACAAGTCATACCAGTATATAATACACTTAAAAGGTATCTGACAGGTTTTTATAAAAAGATAACTGAAATGGAGAAGTAGAAAGCCAAAACCCTTCTTTCCCAAAAATGAATCTCTTTTAAAAATATACCCCTCTCAATTTGTAACTGAAATATACTGTAAAATATTTTATGGATGAGGCAAAGAAATTTTCATCAATAACTACATTCAATAGTATGCTTCACTTACTCTTTCATTTCCATGACCAGTAAGCTGCTTATATTCATGAAGAATTAAAAATGACGAACCAATTATGTATTAAAAACAGGATTATCAATTATCTTATAGATTCAATGCTTTTTGAAAAAAAACTATACTAGCTGGCCATAGTAGTAAAAAATATTTTTAATTTTCCAATTTTTAGGCAGAGTCCAGGATTAATACTACTCGACTTAACCCATTCACTGCTCCTGACGTCTGAAGGCGTCATATAACTACAACAGTACAGTGCGCATAGCGTCTTCCAATGTCATTCATATAACCTTGTTACAAATGAACAGTGGTTCTTCAGCACTGACTAGAACTGCATTTATTTGGTCTGAGCACCTCGGTGTAGTACTGTAAAATGTTTTTATTATGCGAGTTCTCTTTAAAAAAATGGATGACGCTATTCCAGGGCGGTCTAGAAAAGACATCTCAGAAACGGGTAAGAAACGTAAATTTAAGCGTTCTTATACACAAAAGGAACTTGAATGTTTATTATGCAATTCTGACGATGAAATTAGTTATGAATTTGATGGAGGAAAAGCTTTGCACAGGACGTTATCATTTATGGATAACTATTTTAATTCATATGAATTAGCTCTGAATCTGTCACAAAAAAAAAAACACAAGAATACAAGAAGTCTAAATATGAGGAGAATCTCTACGTCTTCATATTATAAGGCAAACAACTAGGATAGGTCTGGAGCCTACTTCCACAGGCAAATGTTGAACATGTTTGTAATGTGCGGCAAAAAAAACGAAGAGACACCACATATTGTGCAAAATGTCCTTTAAAACTTGCCTTTCTATACCTACTGTGCATGATTCCTTCAAATATCTTATCTTTTTTCATTAATTTTTCGATTTTTTCAAAGAACATATCTTTGAACCAATCATAGTAATAATTTGATGAGACCAATATGAGTTCCATGAAAATATAAGTCAGCCACCAGATAAAGTATCCCAAAATTCATCAGTAGTGAATGCGTTAACAGAGTAATATTTATAAATATTCAGTAATAAACACTTTATGAAGTAATAACTGAATGAATAATGAATATTATATTAGTGAAAAATCTCAGAATTCATTCTTGATTATATTTTTCATTGTTTATGATAATTTGATTTTTATTCGATAGAATTAAAGGAATGGGGTCACTCATAAGGACGTATACTAACACAATATGAAAAATAAATCAGCTGATAGGCTAAAGAGAACAGATATACCGAAATTGGGCTATACAATAAATTACCTATTGAATTTAGTGACCATTCAGAAAATTCAGAATCTTGTAGAAAAAAATATCAACAAAACATCCATTATATTACATTAATCAGTTTATCAGAAGATAGAGTATTTTTTGTGGTAATCTCCTGATGTAGTATATTGATATATAAAATAGGATGTTGAAAAATCTTTCTATTCATTTTACTTATAATTTAATTGATGTGTCTAACAACCTTGTGTTTCTAAAAACTGATAACAGACCGAGAATAATTTTTAGAGCAAATATAAAACTTAACATAGATTTCAAAGTCCCTGCTATGTACAAAAATAGCTAGATGAAGTAGTCATCAAACAAATTAATTGATTTCTTAACGAAGAGTGAATATGATGGGCAAGAATTTTGGATCCTTAAGTCAGTATAAGTGACCTCTTCATAAATTTTCGTATAGGTTATTTTAGACAATATTTTAACCCATGTATAAAAGAATGCATACGCATTCAAAAATTTTGATATTTTACTCATTGACCTTATGAAACCAATAGAAAAAAATTGGGAAAAACTTCAGTTATAATTACTTCTAACCTTCCATAAAATGGTATTCTAGCCTTGGTGCAATTCTGCTTAACTTGGTCATACGCTCCTGCTCGGAAAGTATCCGCACAGACAAGACAAGATTTCCAGTTCTTTTTCTGATAATGATATGCTAATTTTGTACAGGTTGTTGTTTTTCCAGACCCTTGTAAACCAACAAACATAATAACATTGGGTTTTCCCTTGACTGGCTGATACGGTTTTACATTGGGATCTACAAGCTAGAAACTATGTTAATATTGAAAGACGATTAATAATGGGATTCATTACTTTGACAAGTTCCTTGAATACTGCGCTTTGTATCATACGTCGTTTATTTAGGCCTCCAGCCATTTCCTCAAAATCAATAACAGACTTTACATTTTCTCGGAGAGATTTGACTAATCTAATATTTACATCGGCTTCTATGAGAGCTAGACATATATCTTTGAGCATTCCATTCAGGACCTAGAATTTAAAAAAGTTAAGTCCTGAATCATAATTCAAACATATGTTGTTTCAATACCTCCTCGTTGATAATTGTCGCCTTGCTGAGGGACTGCAAAGCAGTCGTTATTTTACGACCCAAATCTGCTAACACCATTTTGATACCTTATGAAAATTATTAATTATTACTCTTTGCTATTGTTTATTTCATGGTCTGTCACGTTGGACCTTTTTCCATTAACAGTATTGACATTTGACATTGAATATTCTGCAATATGCAGCGCTGCCGCTGTTATACTTGTTCCACAGAATATCATAGTATTCTGTTCTTGTTCTACAGGGAAGTTTTTCGTCCATAAATCAGAACTAAACTAAACGGTAAAACAAAAAATGAAGTCTTGTGTGTTTTTTTTACAATTCATTGTAGACTCTTGTGCTTTACATTAACCGAAGTAGTTCCTTATGTCTATAATGATTACATCAACACTTGTTTAATTGACCTATTTATTTAGACAAAAGTTATTTTCTCTATTTAATTGCATCAATTACTCCCACAAATTCACTAGTTAACAACTCAAAACACTAAACATAACCTATGTTACACATTGCAGTTATTAAGATTAGCTGTTTATCTTTTGATTAGCACCATAATTGGTAAAAAAATGCCTACCGACCACATTCATATTAAAATGGTTGTACATACATCAAGCGTTTCATTAAAAATATGCCAAAAAAATCAGTTTTTATTTTTTTCACCCTCCCTTACGGCGCTGAAAATTGATTTGATCTTGTACATGATATTTATGCTATATTTCAGTGAAGAATCTATCAACGATCATCCACTATTAATGGAGAAATGAGCGAAAATATGTCAAAAAAAAAATATTTTTTCAACCCTTCCTGACGGCAATGCAGATTGATTTGATCAATTTCAAATTTTTCCACACTCAAATATTGATAAATTAGGAATCTTTCATTTCTATTACATTTAGGGCAACGAATTTGTGTCTTTTGTACTTATATTTTTAAATGTATTCAAGAGGTGTATTTGTAGCAGATACAAAAATTATATATTTTCATTCAAGGCTTAATGAATAAATAAATGAAATGAATTCGATTAAATTGTTGTGTTCTTATTTGTTGCATATTTTCTGGATGTCATTAACCAAACATTTCCAACAATAGTCAGATTATCAGAAGAATTTTATCAGTTTGATATGTAGTCATTGAATTATTTTTTGAATGCAATCAAAGATTTATTAGAAAACCAAATATCGAATATTCTTTCAATAAATAATACACACATGTATATTCAAATACATATATTAATTTTCTACAAATATTTAGATCTATTATGGGTTTTAATTGAAAAGTTACCATTTTTTAACAGATTTTTCATTTTTATTTCTTATTTTCATTATCGGATACATCAGTAATTACTTTAGTTGATTGTAAGACCTAAATAATAGGCTCATGGTATGAGAAATATGAAACATATGTTTTTGAATGAAAATTTGAAAGATATCTAGAGAAACCTGCATCGATTGTTGTTCCATGGATTCAAAAAACCACTTCATTGTGAGATTTTCACCAAACATTTCTACAAAAACGCAACACGTGTTTCGCCATACATGGGCTTCTTCGGGCGTGTCTTTACTTTGTTCCATGTTTTGTGGTAGACTCATTTGTTATTATTCATTTGAGGTTCTAATTTATCTTGTAGAAAGTTTACCAAGAGTTGTCCATCTCCGGACGCGAAATTAACATTGAAACCTGCTAAAATTAGTGGCAATGTATGATAGTTTTCTCAAATTCTTCAGAGTCTACTCGACCGTAAATGTGTGCTGCCACCTCTCTCTCTTGCCCCTAAAGTAATATAAGAAACGTAACTTCTCTTTTTCTATCTTCACTAACTTATACTTCCCACCCAACTTCCGTTTGCCTCTCCCAATCACGCTTTTCGCAATATTCTCATCACGCATTCACCAGCTTACTCCCCAAGTCAAGCGTACGTAAAGAAGTTTTACTTCAAAAATCCTTGTGCAACGTTCCTCAGAGAACAGGAATCATGTTACAAGGGCATCCTAGCTAAAACCAACTAGCAACATTTTTTTATGATATGGACAGGGTGACCACCTTCAGTTGAGAATAACCACCTGCGTACATGTATGTTTCAATGTTGTGGCATCTCAAGACAACCGGCTGCGTTGGGCAAGCAAATCAATTTTTTTTTCATTTGTTAGAAACTCTTCGATACGATTTTATACGTTTTATATCATTCTTACCGTATGCAAAAAATATTGCATTCCATCCAGTTCTGAGCTATGTTTGAAGTTGTGGGTCCCTTTAGCTCCTCGATACCTTATTTTCAAATCGATTGCAAAATTTGAAACAGACAAGAAGCGATTGAAAACGTGGAACAATTTGAATAAAAAATTCAAAGCGTTTCATAATATTCCACATTACATTATATCTATTATTCACTTGTTTAGCGGTGTATAAACTGTCAAACGCTGACAAATCCACTCGTGGATGATAGTGGTTCTGAAAAAATGAAACTGTGAGACACAAACATCAAAGGTTCCGGCAAGAGTGACACTGCTAGTTAAAGCAATACTGTGGAGAAAATTTCACTCTTTTTTACTTATACTTTTATAATAATAATTGTATTATCATTTCTGAGAGCCACTGTGAACACTTCACTGAGAGTTTCTTGTAATAACTAATTATTGTGTATCTATTGGGAATGATCCTAAACAAGCACTATTCCCAAAAAATAGAACTTCAATACTCTTCTCGACGCGAGTTTCACTAACCAATGTGAAGAAGACTACTCCATCTCCTGAAGTAGACTACTTCATCTGTTAATAAAAAACACATTCTAGAATAGTTTGGTGTAACAGTAGCTAAACACGTTATAAATAAAATTTGTTGTGAAAATTCAGTTATGGATAATTGAATAACATATTTTTGAAGTAGTTCAGTTAGCAGAAGATGGAATGGGAAAAACTGATTTTCAGTGTTCATATCCATGAAAGTAGTTGTTTAGGATGGATTTTTTTCTAGTTTCTGAAAAAATGTCACACAGCAACACATATTTGTAAAGAGTTTGTGAAAAGGTGATTACTTTCTTCCTGTCTTTTGCCACATTCTTTTTTTGTATAAATATGAAGAAGTTGAATAGTTTAAACCAATAACGCAAGGCTTCCAAATATTTGAATCTCAGGTTCATTATTTTTCCCAATTTCATTTTTTAAAATACTTGCTTGCAACTAATTCTTACAATTCATAAACAGGGGTAACTTAAACTTGACAAGAATTAATTTGAGATGTTTGTTGAATTGATTTTTGACATTTAGGTTGATAAGTTAATAAAGTACCGTTATTAGTTCAACATAATTTATTGTAGCAAAACGTAGAATTAGTTACATTTCAATATATTTAAAAATACAAATAATACAACATTGAGGCAAAACTGCCATTTTTCAGTAATCACAATATAAAATCACAATCTTATCTGATATATACAATAAAATTGCACCCGAGTAGATAAATAATTATAAGAGCTCCGCTAATTACAAAAATAACATTTAAAGTGCATATTGAATAGATTTTTTCATTATACCATATAAAAATGTATCAGTTGAATAATACAAGTACTTTCTTGCTATAAATGTCAGTTTGAGAAATTGAATAATTAATGCAAGGTACTATAAGTCTCAAGTTCACAAATAAATTGTTGAAGTATAAAAAATAAAAACAATTGAATCGTTGAAAGAAGCTTAAAGGAGTCAACAAAAATATTGGAATTTGTCTTTTTCAGTACATAATCTAAAAACACTCGAACAAGTTGTTTGATGTCTAAAAAATTTTGGCTATTCATATATCTTATTACAAAATAAAGTCGTGGGTTTGTGCAGTCAAAGAAAAATGGGACAAAAATGGCATTTATTTTATAATTTGGGTGGAATATAATATTTTGGTTCGATTTTATATTTGCCAGGTTGTGTTCATGGAACAAATATGAATTCCCATGAATGCCCGGATTAACAAATATCAACCTCACAACTCATCAAGTTTTGACCAACTCTATATAATTTTTTTGGAGCGGATTAGATAAAGTTTTTCTCACTTGAATCATTCCAGAGCTCCACCTAATTACTTCTTTGCAGTGAAAGCTACAGAGAGAAACAGACCGCAATTTTTCATTTGGATGTTGATGTCAAAGATTTGGTCTCGTAATTGATCGCCATTAAGACCCTCGTTCATCTTTAATTAATTATTTGTGGTTTGAGTTTTTTGTCGATCTCTTAGATAACGACTTCATAAAGGAAATCATCACCAGCACTTATTATTTTCAATATAATCGGTAAAATCAATCAAAATTTTCAGACACTATAATACTATTATGCCAGTGATGAACGAAAATTATTTTTTTGCTAGATCCTTCTTAATTTAACATAACCTTCCTATGGGTTTCCAAGAAAGTACAGACAAAAAGCAAATCAAAAGGGTGCCAAAGTCCAGTGCCAAAGAAAGCTACCAACTTTAGTGTTGCAAAGAAAACTTACTAGATAAGGGTCAAGCTCTAGTGTACAGGGTATCCCAAATTCGAGGGTGAACATAGGGATCTCCAAAACCGTAAGAGATACAGGGTCAGTTGAATTCAGGCAAAGTTGCGTAATTTAGTATTCTTCAAATTGATGTTTGTTTTTTATATAGACTGATATAATGATATACCCTGTATTTGATATTGTTTTTCGAAATAAATTCAATGATATATCACAATCTATTATTTGAAAATGGTTTTTTGTCAAATATAACGAATTTATTTTATTTTTATTTGAACAGTAGACTATGCCGAAGCAAAATCAGCTGGGTAACTGACTAAAATGAAAGGCGGCTATGGACCAAAATAATAATTTCTAATGAATGCGTCATTTCTTACTAAAACTTTAATTTTCACATCTAAAAGAGTGTGTCCTTCGAGATTTCTAGTGTTATTAATGTTTCAAAACAAAAACTAAGTTATATCACCAGACATTTCGTTATAATGAATATTCACTGAGAAAGGTTCAAACCGGCTAATAGGGTTGAGAAATGCGGAAACCACTCCCTATTCACGTTCAACATAGGTTGTTAGTAAATCCAGCTTGGTTACAACTGAACTCATAGGAATTTCTACTTTTGCATAAGAAACACTAGAAAAATATACTTGGGAATACACATGAGAAAACTTTTATAAAGGGACTGTCATAGTGAATTGAAAAATTGCTGGAAGAAAGCAGATACTGGTCAGAATAATTACCGGTTTAACAGATCAAAGAATTTATTAATCAATCGTGAATTCTTATTTAACATCAACACTACTATGCAAAACGATTCAATGTGTTTTTATTTTTTCGCTTGTGGTTTAATTTCAAAGTGTTAATCAATATGCACAAACCGCATTTGAGTGTAGAAAACTTGGAAAAGCAGAAAACCGAAATTCATTCTAGTTTCTCGTTTGCACAAACTGCTAATGATAATAAAATAACTTTGAGTTGATATATTATTATATGGTTAACATCAGTACCCAAATTCGGAAAGATGTATTTCAAAACTGTAAAAGGTAGTCAGTTCCTGTGTAACACTGTATATTAATTAAGAAAAAAATGATTCTGCAATTCAAGGTTTCTTGATGTAACTGACTTTAATAAGCAAAGGAATTATATATCACGAATTATTCAGTTAACTGAATTAAATAATGAATTTATTGCAGAAAAAAATAATGAAGTAGAATCTTTCTGTAAGTTGTCAGAATTATCATCAGTTTTCTCCTAAGAACATCTGTAGATGCTAATAATCAAACCAAACCTTAAAACATGAAACTCGGATTGAACCCATTCACTTTCCTTAGATAAAGTCTAAAACTACTCTACAGAAGAATGGTATGGTTACAATATTAATATAAATAAATGAACTATGGTAAAAAAACAACTCATAGAGTTTTGTATAAAAACTTACTTTCACATTACCAGATTGAAAGAAAATAAACGAGTTAAACTGATTTCAGATAAATATAATGAACCTGATAAGAAATCTAGACCCAATCTAGAAACACAAAATACTCACAACCTTCCAACTTAGAAATGCACCGCATTTAATACTGATTCTTTCGAGAAAATATAGAATTTCTTCAAAATATGATTTATACATATATACACGAAAATATGCTAGAAAATAAGATTATTAACACATTCACAGAAATTATTCAAAAGTTACTTTATCTCGGAATTCTTTCGAGGAAATCCATTTCAATGACCCTATCGACTTTTTCTAATATTGTGTCCATTTGCTTGTCTTGCTGCTTTTCCGAATAAACATAATCGGTCGGGGTGAGCCTACTGCATTCTGTTCTATGTCTATCTGAACAACTGCTGAGAGTTTTGAAGAAGCTGTGCAAGTCTTTTAGTTGGGTGATGCTGTTGGTTGTCAAAAGTAGTTCATTTCTTTTCATTGGCAATATATCGATGTGGGTGTCTGGATATTTTCTGTCCATTAGATCGGCGATCCGAACAACATGTGGAAGAAACGAGACTTGGTTAATAGGGTCATCTCGTCTAAGTAGGTCATCTCCGACAAAGGCCCATCGATACCTAAGTAAAAAAACCATATTCTGATTCCATATTCGAAATGTAATTTTTTCATTCAATTCATTATTAGATTTAGAAAGCCATTTGACCCCTCTGAGATTATATGAAACAAACCAAATTATTAAATTATATAAAATTTTATTATTATTGTCAACTAGTAACTAGAAAACTCTTGTTAATGTTTAACGACTTTGAGCGTTTGGTTGATTTCTTGAAAATAGGACTAATAAGTCAAATATAATGAATTTGTTTTTAATTATTTTCCAGTCAGTGGAGGAGTACCTCAGGGCACGAAACTGGGTACTAAACTGTTTATAAATAATTAATAAATGTTTGTTACACCAGATGGTCACTACTCTACTTGTTGCAAATGTTATGAAAGATAATAATAATGTCATAAATGAAGTTATGATTTTCTTTAATCAATGAAAGTTTTTAATAAAAAATTGTTTCCATAAAGTCCAAATTTGTTGATCTTGGTTTATTCAATAGATAAAACACTTGATACTTCAATCATCAGTTATTTACTGAATAGAATTTTCAAAATATTTTTTTTTCGAACAACTGGCTAGTAATAATGGTAAGACAATTTGTTCATGATATTTTAAGGACAGTTTAATTCTGCCTGTTCTTAACAACTGTGAAAACGAAATGTTCAAAGGATTTATGTCAGAATTTGAAAAATCAAACTTTTCTTCATAACAATAGTATGAATACTGATTACTTCATTACTTTTGTGATGTAAATACAAATGATTGAGTTTGATAGCCCGCTAGGTTTGCAGATTCAAATTCACTAGACGTTTTTCTTTAGATTAATTTGATAAATTATAAAAAGTGAAGAAGTGCCCATTCAAAGAAATTATGTGGAACCCAGAAGTGAATTTTGAACAACTTTTAAGATTATGATAATAATGGGTGGACTCGGCCGTTACTTGATGAAGATCCATAGTAATTTCACAAACTACACCTAGCGATTTGATCTTCAAACTTTATTTTCAAAGATATCACGACATTTTGAATAACTATTAGGACTATAATAATAATAAAAATGGGTAGAAAGATGCCCTCTCTAATCTCGAATATCAAGATCATGTCGGCTTGTCAGGCATGATACTGATGGCTTGAACTATTACATTCTTAATATTCAGTGAATGATATTAATAATAGAAAAAAAATACAATACTTAAATAAATTATAATAAGATAAATAAACCTAGAAATACCTTACGAAGTGTAATACTTGAAGTAATGTAAATATTAATATATTGACAATGGACAAACTGTTTATCAAATATTATTTTTTCAATACTTGTTGCAGGAGCTGTTTTCAACATTGAAATCGCTGAGGGGCTATAATGTTTACAAACGAATGAAAAGCTCCGTAAATTCAATAAATAATAAATAATATGTTGATCATATGTGACTAACCGATTTCTTATATGATTTTTACATGCAATGTCTTTCTTCATGATTTATGTAATGTTTGTTGGCAATATTTTGATTTGATATATTCTTGAAAATTAATTTGTTTTGATATCTAGTATGATAAATATGAATGGTGAAATTAATATTGTTTTCATTTTTAAAAAGGTAAGGACCTTAAAAATTTTCTTGAGATACTCCACTTGGAAAAGTGGGAAAACTATTTCCTGAATGATATAGGAATGTAAAATATCTTTATCAAATAATATATTGAAGAAAGAACAAATCATTTACTGCAAATTAAAGAATATAGCTTGACAATAAATGTTTAATGAAACAACAACTAACCTGTAATACAACCTATTTGATGATAAATGTAAATTCAGCGAAAACAGAAAATACATTATTATTTATACAGATGAATCATCTTTAATAAAAGAGCAAGTTATCACAGTTCAAACCAAAGGTGGCACAGACCTTCATTGAAGATATTGAATGTTTTTTCATATCAAGTTGAGCTTCTTAACATACATTCTTATTGAATTTTTAGCGCGGTGAAATAAATGAATACTGATGTCTAAATCTGGATGCCGGAAAAGTACGCCTGTTGTTCTTCATCAACAGTGATATTTTATAAATGTAAAAATTTACTTTCATAATTTAACTCACATTTGGAATTGAGGAAGCGTTGTGGCGGGTAAAAGCAACGATAGATCCAATAATTTGGCTGTTGCCAACTGAAGTCGTAGCCAATGTGGATGGCCCAAGGCGTGGAGGCCATTGCTGCTATTGGTAGTCCAGCTTGCATCAAGAGACGACATTAGTTTTATGTGAGAACTGTTAGAAAAGAAAAATAAAATAAAATAATATAAAGTAACAAAATAAATAATATTTTATTTTGAAGCAGACATTACCAATTGAAGCCCTCGCATAAGTTTTCATAACACAAACACCAGATTTGTTGACTCTTAATCTCAACAGAATAAGAATTATGATCTGAAAGATATTGACTCATTCAATTGATAGAGGTAATAACAATTCTATTTTGAATCAACAACTTATCATTTTTTGTGAAATAGAATTTTATATATACACACACATCGGAAAAGTCTAGGGATATTTTTAAAAATGACAATAATTTTTTTTAGATCGCTTTAGGGAAAAAAAAGTTTACGGGTGATTATTTATATACACACACATCGGAAAAGTCTAGGGATATTTTTAAAAATGGCAATAATTTTTTTTAGATCGCTTTAGGGAAAAAAAAGTTTACGGGTGATTATTAAACGAATGTAACTTACAACAAAATTTATTAAATGGTCAAAAATACTGAGCGCGCATATAAGCAAAACTAAAAAAAAATATGGCTCTTCTTTGGCACCCCGAAAAAGTTGCTAGGACTTTTTGATGGAAGTGGCAACGCCGCAAAGCTGAAAATATTTTAGATCGATAGAACAGTTAAGGAAATGTGAGAGGTGGAATGTTCAAAAAAATAATGCTTTGCGTTTTCCAGAAACGTATAACCTACATCGACCGTGAGTCACGCTGTATATTGAGGGTTTTGTAACACAAATAGTAACTATTCTCAAGTATCAGTCCAGCTTTCTGATGGAGGTTCATCTTTCTTAATCGTTGATAAACATCTCTAAATAACCAATAACTATTTGGATACTTGAAAATGATGCGATATTTCATGTTGTTAAAAAAACTGGTGTTTGGTTATTTAACATTTTTCCAATAACGGTAAAGATCCACCACTGAACAAAAGACTTTTCTCAAGTTAGAAAATCGTGCAACAAAATAATTTTACTTTGCAAGCTGTTACTGTTACCACACAATATAAGCAATGCTGAAGCAAACTTTCAATTGGGTAGCAATTAGTAATAAATGAATTACCTGTTGTTTGTCCTGTAGCATCCAGCCACCATAGCAAATTACAAACAAATAAATAATACTGTTATTAACATCAAATACAAAACTATTTCGATAACGCAATGGATGTCAATCAGAAAATTCAAAGATACAATGGACAAAAACCATTCATTCAATCAAATTCGATTTTCTAAGAGTTTTTATATTTCAATTCATCTAATTACTGACATTTATAGCATTATCGAAACTCAATAATTATAAATCAATCTACAACGTTCATTTGTTAGTTGAAAACATTTCATTTCACTGAAAAATGTTTCCAAAACAGGTTTTAAGAAATTTAAATCGGGTTGTTAAATATACTTGATGCAGAACTACTGAGGGAATTGGACATGCAAATCCAATGGATCATTCAAATAAAAACTGTAGAAATAAACCACATTATCGGTGTTTGATTATTTGAATTGGTTATTAAGATTTGAAATTTTGATTAGACAATAAATAAACTCTAACAATCAAGACAATTTTTATCTTTTATATTTATGTATTTTCAACAACATTTTTGTGCTCAGGATGTACTAGGAAAGTAGTTGTTTCTACCGATTAACTTTTGTTTTGTCAAAAACTCTCAACGCGGGAAATGAGTACACATGATGCTAAATGGTGCAAGCATTGAAACTTATCGCGCTTATTTTATTAAAATCTATAATTTACGGACCATAATGCAAAAAAAATCTTTCATCTATTATCAATTCATTTCCAAATGTGAACATTAACAAAAAATGTATTCATTCGATACAAAACTTCCAGACAGGATTTTGCTGTTATAAGGAAGCTAATGAAAATTATTAACAACAATTGATAATGAGAAAATATGAACATTCAAATATTTTAATTTGTTTATCATTATCGGATTATTCTTTCCTTTGGTAGCATGTATGAGGATGGTCTAAAGAGTGGTCGACCTCAACATGAAGATAGCAGCACTCGTAAATGAAAGCTAGTGAATTTCGTTGTGCATCTGTTGACAGTCGTTTGATTGAGTCGATGAGAGTGTTTTTATGAAAATGCACAAAATAGAGTAACGAGCTGTCATTAAATATTTGTTTTTGAAAGGCAATACACCTACACAAGTCAAAGATGAGTTGGATTTTGTATATGATGTCTCTGTACCATTATTTACCACAGTGAAATTTTGGACAGCTGAATTTAAATGTGGCCGTAAGATCTTATAGTATAAGAGCTAGCAACGTTTTCGAGAAAGAATTTCAAAACAGTTGGTTTTTTGATATGCTGTCTTTCTTGCTCTTTCGGTTAGAGTCCGTGTTACCTGGCTGGCGGTAGTGGTTGCGTTTATTAATGCACATCTTACCTGCACAGGTAAAAATCCTTAACTTCAAAAGAATTTTTTAAAGCGTAATTTTTAATTTTTTGCCTTTAGATAGATCCACTAGACATCAATTTTTTATTGCCAGGCATTTTTATTGTTGTTAATTTATAAACATAAAATAATCTAAAATTAATTTGCCAGACGTTAATTCGATTGTTAAGTGTTAAATATAAATAAAAAAGTAATGAAAAATATTGCGGTATAATGCTTGTGGTTAGAGAGAGACAGTTTGAAGTGCAAGACAGATAGAAAGTGACAGCAGGGCATCGGCAAATGGAAAACATGGCGTCAGTCTAAAGTCACATGATTGTTTTGTGTTTATGTTATTTGTGATGTTTATTTATTAATTTTGTTATAATGGCCAGTGATAAAATGAAATGTATTTTCTATAAAGGACATAAAGATAAAATCATACTTTTCGTGGTTGATAAACTGAAAAAAAAGCCAGGAAGTTTTGAATATACGTTTAAAATAGAAATTAAAATACAGTGACATCGAGTTGCCTACTGAAATAAATGAAACAGATGGATATCACAGACAATGTTACAGAAGTTTTACAGCATTAATGGCAAAATACCGTGATCAATCGACTGAAATAGATAGTATCAGTAAATCTACTTCACATACTTTGCTATTAAATACACCAGCAAATGTTAGTGAAACTATTGCGAGAAACATAAAAAGTGAAATCGTAAGTGAGGTTAGTGCTTCGAGTTTAATTCATTACACAACATCCGGTGATAAATATGATTTTTTCTGGTTTGTGGGAGAGCAATTACCTTCCACAGATGCAGATGTTATTATTCAAAGTAAGTATTGAATAGAACATTAACAAACACAATTACAGGTATTTTAATTTTTTTGTTACAGATGATGGAATATTAGAAGACAATGACAATTCGCAAGACGATGATATAAATAATTCTGACAGTGAGAGGAAAGATGATGATGGTGATTATTTGAAGATGCCTCCTTTTTTTGTGACACTATTATAGATTGAAGATATTTCAATTTAAAAAAAATCTGAAACTTTGTATTATATATTTGTAATTCACGTGTAAGTAATAATCATTACTTCTTTATTTAAAAAATGTAATTTTTGAACCTTCTTTGATATAGTTTTTATTCCATTCTTTTCAATTTATGCTTATTTTAATTATATTTTCATTTTTATGTTAAAATTTTTTCATTCCAACTTGTATTTACAAGAACAAGTGTAAGTAATGTATTTTTGCAATTATTTCCTGTCTCATTCTTAAAATTTTCTGTTATACACCAGCTGATACGCTGCCGTCGCTTTCTATCTCTCTTGCACTTTAAACTGTCTGTCTCTAACCACAAGCATTATACCGCAATACTTTTCATTACTTTTTTATTTATATTTAATACTTAACAATCGAATTAACGTCTGGCAAATTAATTTTAAAAAAATTAAAAATTACGCTTTAAAAAATTCTTTTAAAGTTAAGGATTTTTACCTGTGCAGGTGAGATGCGCATTAATAAACGCAAACACTACCGCCAGCCAGGTAGCCCGGACTCTAACCGAAAGAACAAGAAAGCCAGCATATCAAAAAACCAACTGTTCTAAAATTCTTGTTTTCCGAACGTTGCTAGCTCCAGTACTATTAGGGGACGATGAACGTTCGGAGCGTCCAAAAACTGCAATCACCGACGAAAACATTGCCATGGTACACCAGATGGTGCTAGACGACCGCCGAAATAAAGTGAGAGAAATAGCAGAGGCTATGGACATGTCAAAAGAACGTCACGAGAAAGATGTCCGCGCGTTGGGTGCAGCGTTTGTTCACGTTAGAACAAAAACGTGTTCGAATAACATTTCCAACGCTCTGTTGGCGCAGTTTTGGTGCCAACTAATTACTGTAGATGAAACTTGGATACACCATTATACGCCTGAAACAAAAATACAGTCCAAACAGTGGACTGCAAAGAAGGAACCGGCTTCAGAAAAAGCAAAAACTGTTTTTTTGGCTGGGAAAGTGATGGCGACTGTTTTTGGGATAGTCATGAAGTTATTCTAATCGATTATCTTCAAAAGGGAAAAACCATTATAGGAGCATACTACGCATCATTACTTGACAAGCTGAAGGCAGAACTTGCGGAAAAACGGCCAAATTTGCAGAAAAGGAAAATCCCGTTTCACCAAGACAACGAACTGTCTCACACCTCAGCAGATGTAGCCCCAAGTGACTTCTTTTTGTTCGCTCATCTAAAATTTACGCTTGGAGGACAGATATTTTAGTCAAATGAAAGGCAATCACCCTCGTGAACAATTATTTTGCTGAGAAACACGCCGAGTGGAAGGGTTACAGAGATGGGAGCATCGTTGGGAGAAGTGTATAGAGGTAAAAAGAGACTATGTTGAAAAATAAAAAAAATCTGAAAAAATGTCTGGTGTCCTTTGTTAGGTCAGAAATTTTTCAGACCACCCCTTACATCAAGATGAACTTTAGTGTAACTTTTTGTATTATGATCATGCAACTTAGAATTTTCTAGTAATTGAATATACTTGGAATCGTCCGTGGTAGTAGTGCGCCCGACTCACGATCGGAAGGCCGTGGGTTCGATTCTCGCCTCGACCAGATATTTTTCTCAAGAAAATGTATCTGGTTGAAGCTGGGATGATTCTGCAACCGTGTTAGGAATCACACGTTAAAAGGTAAGACCTCGTTAGTCCTTAGCTCGCACAAGTTTATCAACTTCTGAGAGTTGTCTTTCGTATGGGGGCGACAGCTGATTAACGGAAAAACAGATTTATCAATTTTTTCATGTCGTTATTTATATTTTGTTCAATTAATTCTTTTTTTTTCTGAATAAAACAGTGCAAATGAGAAGTGACCACCCATTAAACCTATATTTTTAATATAAATTGAAGTGCCAACTTGACATTGTCAAGTAGTGAGATGTATTCAGCACATCTGTGCTTTTCATCAAGTGTCGTAGGTCAAGAGTTTTTGACGAAATATTTTACATGAGGAAGAGGTATAAGTGATCACATCTATGATGCATCTTGTGATTATCCCAAAATATTGTAACGAAAATGGTTACTTTACTTCGTGTGATATTTTTAAATTTTATAAGTTACATCCTATGTCAACGATGGAATAATTACAACACAGCATACCTCAATAGTATTGAGTTGAAAATGTGTTTAAGAGTTTGAAAAATATACTTCAAATGAAATATAATACTATTTCACTATTAATCCCTAACTAATCACTATTTTTCCCTAACTAGAAAATACCCAAAAGGAAAATAAATTAAATCAGAATTCAAGAAAATCAGTGCGACAAAAATCAACAATTTCAAATGAAAAATCTTCTTTCGTAATCAATAAATGAGAATAAGGAACAAATGGTCCCATCTCGCGGAGGAGAAACTTTTCACTAGATTTGTCAAAATGTCTACAATGGATATTATTCAATCCATGATGCACAGAAAACAACATATATTATGGTGACATTTGAATACTTTAAAACCAAACCTACAGTTTGAAGTTTTTCGGTTGACACCCATTTGTTGTGATATGTTTTAATGCACAGAAAGTGCTTTTATTATTGATCGTAAGTGATACAATTTATTAATAAATATTCTTTACTAATCATTCAAGTGAGCCAACCAATGAAATCAAATCAACACAAAATGTTGAAAAAATATCAGATGAATCTACACATGATGATTTCCAAATAACTGCTTCATTAACATTGCTCTCAAAATATAACTCCTGATATTTCCTCAGAGGAATAAAAAAAAACTTTCTTTTCAACTATTTACTCCTGAAGATATCTTATAAATTTACTTTTTTCCATCAAAACTATGAACACACTAATTTTGACACATATTTCAGTAATCAAGTCAACATCATCAGAGAATCAATACTTGCAGTTCTTGTTCGAACTCATTGATGTTCAAGGCATTATTGCTACAATTTGTTGTCATAGTGAATAAATAATGCGTATTTAAACTACCACTGTTACAACTAATATTGAATTCAATAAATGGTAGTGTGTAGATTATGGTTAGTTTGACTAGGTTATTTTAAAAAGTCACGAAAAAGCTTCTAAAACTGTGCACTATTATGAATCAACCAAATTACTGATATTCTAAATTCATAAACTCAAAATAATAAAGCACCCCAAGGTAAATACACAAAATATAAAACCCACATAAAACATATTATTCAAATTTAATTTTTGAATACAAAGCGAAATTAAATCTGCATGTCACATACCTGAATTCCTCCGTATCCGTTGATAATTCTTGTTCGATCTGTAAAAATACCTGCAGCATTTCACTTATGATGATCGGCCATAAGGAAGTAACGTGTAAGGGACTCATTCGCATTAATATTACTCGAAAACAAAAGAACACTTGTGCTTGAACATTTGGTGCATTTAGCCTCAGACTACTTGTAAGTTGTTCTGCAAAACCACTGTTTATAACCATTTTACCAAATTGATTCTGAATAGTTACCTTGAATATCAGGCATATACTTGGCATATTGATCCATTTCACTACAGAATATTACATAAGCTAGTCTCTTCAGTAACTGTGCCTTCTGCTCATATTCTTGTTCCCTTGATGAGAATATACTTAAACTCCCACTCTGATTCAACGAAACACGATCTGGAATTATACGCGAAAGGTTAAGTTTCTTACAACAGGATATTTTTTAGGAAATTAGAATAATAACACTGTTACAATGTGTTGCATACACTTCATTTTAAAATAAATGCGTACATTAACACTATCATTGCCAACTGCCTGGTTTGGCAAAAATAGGCATTGATGTGAATACATTATGCTCTTGTGGCAATTTTTCTTTAGCGGATATAAATCACATACTATTTACATGTCCCAACTTCGAACTGTACCGGACGAATTTCTTAAATAATTTACTTTCCTCTAATGTTTCGTTTTCCAACTAATATAACAGTGCTTTTAGCTTCACTAAATGAAAAAATATACAACATAATTCTAAAATTCATAATTAAATCTAAAATATCAATATAAAAAGTAGTAACTCGATTGATTCAAAAATTCTGTGGCAAAATAAACTCCGGTTTGATGCCAGGGAAGGGGTTAAAAAAAACTGCCTGGTTGATTTTTTGGTCTGTTTCGGCAGCGCTTTGGTTCAATTTGAGTTCGTAGAGAAAAATTGGGCGAAAATCGCTTAACAACATCATATAATGATAAATTAACAACATCAATGTATAGTGTACAAAATTCTTTATCATACACAGTAGAATAAATATTTATTGAGATATGGAGCTACAAGAACACATGACATTAACACAGACAAAACTTTTTGAAACAACCCGATATAAATAACCAATACTGTGAAAATTTTGAAGTAGAACGAAAGGTTCACAATAATTTTTAGGTTTTGACTGAATCAAGTATTGAAAAGCATTATAAAAGTATTATTGATAAGATTAAAATTATCAACTTTTAGACCAGAAGATGTTTTTGTTCGCATATGACGATTAAATTACGATTTGTTGTCAATAAATACTTCTGAAAATTTGGCACTAGATCAGATGGTGATGGAGTAATTGTCTATATTTAAATCTCTCTATTTACACCTAAACAGCAAAATATTGATATTCTATATATTGAAAGTCAAACAGTTGGAGTCACCATAATTTCAATGCTTCAATATTTATATGAAGGGTTTCTACAAGTTTAGTGATATTTTTCTAAACCATAGAATAGTTGTCATCAGCAATCAAATTTTTTGCCAAGTCCGAAATATTACATTAATAATTCCAATTCCAACCACAAATCTTATCAAAAATTCTGATGAACAGTGCTTGTGAAATATATGACTATCTACCTCTGAATATGAGAAGAATTAGTAACTCAAAAAACTTTTTAGTTAGCAGTGAAATCTTTGTTCAGCAAGATCTCATACTATTGCATTACAGAATTTATGGAAACATTTTAGAATTGACTTGAATCGGGTACCAAAGTCTTTTATCTGCAATTTATGATTTATTCTTGTCTAATATTATTTTTTGAAACTAATATGTCTCATATATCTACTTCTTATATTATTTAACATAAGATACGCTTTGAAAGGATTCCACCCAATTATATATGAGTGTTGAAGCTTAGGCATTATCTCATGATCAACAAACTCAGAAGCTTTTAAAAATTACTGAAAAAAGCTGCCCCGTGACTTTCCTACTATTGATATTTGCATAAATTTCTTATGAATAAATTAATATAAAAGGAATTTTTTATTATTAATGATAGTCAAAACTTACTCATCAAATCCCTAAATGTAATATTGTCATGGGTCATCAAATTATCTACAATCACCCTCCAGAATTTCAGACAAGAATAATCCATTTGAAAAAGTGTGTTATCGAACAATAGGTCGAAAATATCCTTTCTCCATGCCTTCCTTGTATATTGGTAGCTACTCAAGCTTGCTAATAGTTTCGAGCAAGCACTGAAGCTGGGCATATTACGAACAGTATGCGTTTTTAAATAAGGAACTATGTTGCACATTAACGAGGTGAGGATTCCATTGACTTTGTCCTTTTCACACGAACCAAAGCATATATCTAAAATTGGAGCTAGAATTTCTGATAAAACCTAAAAAAAAAGAAGGTTTTTGGGGCACACGAAAAATTATATTAACTTACTAATTGTGCCTGTACGCTATGGTTAGAGGTTACAAATACTTCACTACTGGTACTCCCATTCAGAATACTGGCTTCGGGAGTGCTCTCTTCATCTTGTTCTTTCACAGCATAGTTTTTTCTCAACCAGGTGGTTTGTTCCAAGCACGAGCCGCAAACTTGTGAAACACAATCTATCAACTGAAAAACATAAAAGTATTGAGGTGAAGAAACAATTTTACACCATCATCAGTATAAATTCATAAGTTATAATGTTTCGCTGGGATGCTAAAGATAATCAATATTGAGAGTGCCTCTGAAGAAGCTAACTGTGCATGCTAATGAAACATCAGGATGAAATTTCATAATATGAAGGTCCTTAAACCCGACAAAAATAAGGATATTATGATAGTATAAACGATAAAATTCACTAGAAATATCCCGAAATTTATTTCATAACAAGATGTTTATTTTTCTCAGGCCAACGTTGTTAACTTTTAAGCGTTTCCTTCGAAAGAAGAGATATTTATATCAGAAATTCTACATTGTTGACAAAATTAAATACTATACTTTATCTATTTGTTCTTCACACAATTGCAAATATTTACATCAATCATTCAAATCGAGGTTAGGTATTTTCCATTTATCAGTTGCCAGCTTGATTTTTCATTTCAAAATGTGTAATTATCATCAATGTTTAAAATTTAACTTACGCCGTTCTTGTCATTTTATTATTCTTTACAAATCCAAATCAAACGGTTAAAAAACATGGGAAATTCTAGATAGCGACAGAATTCATGAAAATTCTTAGGTTAAATAAATTAGTACTCGCATATACCTAATATGTTTCAAGATAATTTCTGTTGATTTACTATTGAGAGACATTTATTTATAAGTATTCATTGAAAAAGCGAGCATTTCAAATATAAAAGGTTTCCAAAATGGAATATGTGCGTGATCTTTGAAACGAGTTTCAAAGGTCGCCTAACTTGACCGATATATTTTTTGTCACAGTCCTCCCAGCTTATTGCTTATATCCCAGATTACCTACCATTTGTTAAAGTGAGCATGAAGTTTTGAAGGGTACCTTTCAAATTCAACTTTTTGAAAATGTAATCTTATCCGTTAGTATATCTTGATTCATATGGAAGTACAATGAACATGAAATGAAGATTGTTTCGGTTCCGGTGTTTGGGAACCGTGATTGTTTTGGAATTAGTCTCTGAAAGAGGTTTCAACTCTACCTTCCATAGTTGATGAAATCTCAAATGGAAGATCATCTGCTAACATATTAACCAGTATTTCCCTGGACGATATGAAGAATATTGAATATTATCACATATGTTTTTTTTTGTTATTAATTAGACCAATGGTGAAATAGCTCCCTTCAAAGTTATATATTTACTTTCTTGTATACATTTTCTGTATAAACGATTGTAGTTTCTTGAAAATATATAAATGTTTATTATTAATTAGTTACTTGTTTGAAGGTCCTCAAAACACAACTGCAAGTGTTGTGAAACAATATAAACGATAGATTTTTTTTAAATGAATTCAACTTACTTTCGTTGTAACATCTTGCAGATCTTTTTGATCTTTTCTCTCTTCTAGTGGGCAACACTTTATCATTATTTCGTGTAGGAGGGCGGCAAGCAAAAACTGAGCAGGGGGAGACAATGAACAACCTTCTCTGATCAATGTCAGTAGGGAGCCCCATGCCTCAAATAACTGGGTAGAGGAAGCATTTCTCATATAACTGAAAATATTGAAATTATTACTCCTTTTGGTTTTTTCACAGGAATGAAGGAAAACTTAAACTTCTTGTGAAAAATTTAGTGATATCAGACCAATTGAATGTTTGTTATTAATTTTATTTTATAGCCATACATGGACACTTACCAATAAAATAGCTCAAGAACAGATACATCTAGGCAAATTTCTGAACTGAGACCTTCAGTGGGAGGAGGGTTTTTTATCACAGCTGTTACAGTTTGTACTAAATTGTCTAGGGGAATAACTCTGATGGCCAGAATCAATTGTACCAAGTTGATTTGACCAACGTTTGGTTCAGGAAGCACCTTCAACAGAACAAAAATAACTACTGCTTTCCTTCAACGTAAGAAAATACTTACAGTTTTTACACTACTGAATGGATTTCTCCTTTCATACCAAGCCACAGATATGGCAGCCAAAAAGCTTGCGCTATGATGAATAGAAATAGGACTCAAGAATTCTAGGAGTTGCTGCTCAACTACTTTGGAGTTTCCGTAGATGCCGCAGTAGTCACTATCCAGAGTAACGATAGTTTGCCACAGCTTGGCGACGCTAGAAATGATTCTAGGCATATGACTTAATATTGTTTTTCTCGCATTCTGATAGTTATCCGAGTTGTGTTTTGCCGGAAAGTTCATATCAACACTCAAAGGCAGAAAAAATACATTGAAGAGATTGTTAATTATTTCTCCCGGATTAGAAACTGGAGTGCTGGGGTTCACTGGAATATTTTGCTTAACAGTTTGAGTCGAATCCAACAAACAATAATGACAAAGAACTGTTAAAGCTTCCAGCTGAATTACTGCATAGTCCGAACATAACTCGTCTTCTAATTCTGTACATTTATAGTTCAAAGCGATTTCTTCAATATTATTGCAAATTTGGTGGATGACACTGATAGATATTTGTTTGAGATTGTCGCCAAAGTAGGGGAGACATGAAGTAACTAGATGCAGCCATTTTTCATGTATGTGTTTCATATTTTGATGGCGTAGAGCGCTCATTATGGCTGATAAAAAAATTTGCTGCTGTGGTATCACAACAATTGGCCTATTCAATTGATCTCCGTTACTAGAAGTGGATTCTGTAGATTTAGCAGGGAACACGTTGTGCTCCAAAATGATTAAGGAATGAATTAACCTCAGAATCTGTATTTGAAAGGCTTCCACATGTTCCCCAACTTTATTCTTACTATCACAAAGCTGGAAGTTGTTGAAAGCTAGAATTTCCTCAGCAAATGTCATGTCTTCATCAAAGTTTCTCACAGAAGTTAATAAGCAGTTCAAAAGTATTTTTTGCAGTTTGCACTTCACCAACAAATCCGCTATATAACTAGAGAAGCCCTTAGAATTTTCCTTCACCATTATTATTAACTTCTTCATAATTATATCGAGAATCTCTAAGCTTTCCAGCTGTATTTTCAAATTATTATTCATTTCTTCAGAAACTAGGGAAGAGTCCTCTATAAACGGATAGAATGTTCTTGAATAGTTTACACAAATATGTATAATGACGTCAAGAAACATATATCCTCTGTAGTAATTTATATGGTCAGTGCTTAGTTCACCGGCAAATCCGTACCCAAGTGAAGATTTTCGGTGTCTTGCCAAAAGATTCAGAATTTCATTATTTTTTAAATTGTTGATGCCACTCGTTGCTAAACATTTGATGAATAACTGAGGTTCTGCTGAAATACAGTTCTTCAGTGTTTGAAGGGCATAAATGATCTGATTCGAGTCGAAAATTTCATAATACAGACAGAGATGTGAATGAATTGGATATAACACAATATTTTTCGGTGGCTGAGAACTGATTCTTGGCTTCAAATCTAAATCTGTAGGCCTCTGTGGAGTATAGTCCGTTTCGTCCAGTTGTGAACATACTTTATCAATTATAGTGTTCAGAATTTCATTAATAACAGCTCTATCTTCATTTTTAACTTTGAAAAATTCTTCGGCACTTTTACTCAGCTCCAATTCACAAGTTGCGTGCAAGCTGGCAGAATCAGAAATGCAGTAAGACCAACTTTGTACTAAAGAACTTTCAATATCTGTAGATTTTGAAGTGCCTATTTTCTCATCAAAGCTTTGAGACTTCGGAATTTTTGATCCGATCAAGTGTCCATTGATTGCATCAGCTTTGAATCCATCAGAAATTGGTTCTATGCTCTCCAATAAATACGTTGGTGTGAAATCTTTTCCATTAACTATATTGGAAAGTTCCGGGTGACTTTTGTTCTTGAGGCTGTCAAACCCTGAATCTCTATCACCAATAACACGTTCAGGGGGAATCGAAGATTCTTCGTTACTGAGTTGTGTATACTCGTTGCAAGAGGACAAACTTTCCAAAGAAGAGTGAGATTCCCGTTTGGAATAGGAACCGTTCAACCCAATGGGATAAACCTCTTTTGAACTCAAAGGATTGATAAATAATTTGACATTTTTATGAGCCTTCTCAGAGGTGGGAGACATGTTAACACCTTTAAAGTCTATATTTTTCTTCGTAACAACATTTGAATCTTCGGTAATGCTTGTCGTCATGTTGATAACTGAAGATGAATATTTTTTATCAGATTTTGAGAAGGCGAACCATTTCTTTTTGGTAGGCCTGGGACTAGGACTGTCAGTTACATGATACATGACATTGCCGTCGACATTGCTAACAGCATAGACTTTTTTGGAATGTACATTTTCTATTTTGACATCCTGCGATACAGTGTCACTTTGTGAATCGGAATCTTGAATATTCACATGTACTATGGACACTCTGGCAGTGTTGGATGCTAACAATTTCATAAAAATGGGATTTATTATTCTTGTAATGTCATTGTGTAGAAGGCTGTGTGATAGAAAAGATTCTGACAAGAGTTGAAGGTTTGGTCTATCCTTGTTTTGTAGATTGTCCAGAATTTTTAGTAGACACCTGAAAAATCATAACGATATATTTCATCTATTACATTAAGCATTATTTACCTGTCAAAATTCCTGATACTGGATCTGTTTGGTGGCAATTTAATATTGAGATTCCTCCCTAAGTGCCACAGTAAGAAAAACCGTTTCATATACTGAACATTGATATTTTCTACTGTAAGGAAATGACAGATGATATTTTCCACAAAAAACCTATTGTCGAATATATTATGTATTTGATACAACAATGTGATGCACAAAATCAGTTGATTCTGATTACTAAGAATTCCAAGTAATTTCCACAGAATCTGGCACATCTCCTAGAAGGAAAATTTAGCATAATGAATAATTATGTTATGCAAAAAAATAATTTGTGTGAACCTAAGTCTTTGGATAGCTTTTCACAAATTCACTGAAACCTCTTAAGAATTTTTAGATTGTCTCATAACAATAGGTAAACTTTTTATTACCATTTGATACATTGCTTGTATAGCCACCATGTATAGATTTATAAACAGGGTATTTTCAAATTCGATTGCCAGATGACTAGAGACAATTCACGATCAATTTATATTCAGTTGGTCGAAAATAAAATTTTCACCTGAAGAAAGAGTACATTTGGGTTTTTGGACTTTTTTACCATGGTTCTTTGGACCAATTTTGCTTTCACTGCACTTCATTGGGATATCAATAATTGATTTTCTATCCCTGATACTATTATCTGCCTTTTCTTTTTGTATTCAAAATATTCGCTCTGTCATACACTAGGGATAATCAAAATAAAAGTAAACTAATTAATACAGTTTATTGTATGATTTTCACTATAAAGGGTTTTACAAAAACCGCGACACGTGTTTCGCTATAAAATAGCTTTCTCAAGCGTAAACTAAAAGTTACTTCTAAATTACAACTATATCTACTTGTATGCCTACTTTCCAATGAATGAATCTACCTGAAAAAGTCAGGTATGAAATGCGCCACTGGAATCAATGAAGTCGCCCCGGAGCGCCAATTAATTTTTATTGTTGTTTTTATTTTTATCGTTGTTGTACAATAACCTCAAAGTAGGCCAAAACGTCAATAAATTGATATACTCATCAACTATGTGAATAAATTAAATTTTTCAAAAGTATGGTAAATTTACTTAACTTTTCTTACCTGGAAATAAACAGATTCAATAATGACGAATTATTCAGTTCAGTTTGATCGTTTATAAGATATTGTGAGTTTTTGAATTTGTTTATTTCCATACTCTCCAACAGGTTGAGTTTCAAACCTTTCTCCTGGAAATGGAGGGGCTTAAATTCATGGTTGAACTCATGTTCCTCTGGGATTAAATGAGATTAAATGAGCATATGGAAACTATTTCTGTGTTCCTTTATGCAGGATTTGAACGTTCTTCCAGTTTGACCTATATAAAACATCGGACATGACCCGCATGGCTGTATAACTTTTTTGATACTAGAGAATGTATTAGACTGCTATCGTGATCATTGTTGACGGCAATTTATTGTATTATGTTACATTACATTCATACACTCTCTATTATTAAAAAGTTATACGGCCCAGCTATGAAGGAAGTTTACCCAATTCGAAGAGATGAGGATGAAAGTTATAGAACCTTAACCTACTTAGGCTAACCCACTACAAATATTTCAGATTTTCTGCATAACAAAGGTGTAAATATTGATTTCAAAACCAATAACAAATTGGGCATGCACATTAAGAATAACAAACATAAAAGTTCAATTTCAGAAAAATTGGGAGTGTATAAATTATCATGAGGGTCATGTCCGATGTTTTATATAGGTCAAACTGGAAGAACGTTCAAAGCCCGCATAACGGAACGCAGAAATAGTTTTCAGAATAGAAAAATTCTACATATGCCACTCATTTAATCACAGAGGGACATGAGTTCAATCATGAATTCAAGCCCCTCCATTTCCAGAAAAAAGGTTTGAAACTTAACCTGTTGGAGAGTATGGAAATGAACAAATTCAAAAACTAATTACTTCTGAAAGGCCTATGTCCAAAGTAGTGAACATCAGATAGCTGAAATTATGAAGACAATAAAGGTAAAAATAAATATAAGTGGAGCATTTCTCAGTTTTCCCCCGCCTAGATAAAATTGAAGATCCGGGGTTGTATATAGTCACAGTATAGCTCTACTGTGATATAGTGTAGAGTGTTTTGATGCGTCATAACACATCGCCTCCCTACAAGCTGCACTTCAGTAATATAATTCTAACTGTTTAAATTGAAAAGGGTATATTTTTAGTATTTTTCTTTCATGTAATTTAATGTTTATATGAAAATAGCTGTTTCGGGAGTTCTTTTTCTTTCAGTTTGTGACTGAAAGTTACTTCTTTGCATGATCTACACATCTTTGTATAGAGTTAAGGTTTGAAACTGATTACTTTCTTCATTTCTTTGGATCTAGATGGAGAAGTAGAAGGCCAAAAATTTTCTTTCCCATAATTATAACTATACTAAAAGTATGGATACGATATTCTTATGGCGCGTCACGACACGCTCCGACACAATAATGTAATTCTGGCTTTATAACTAACTACTGTTATATAAAAGACATTGTACACTAGTTTAACTGATGAAACTAATGTATTGACACACATCTTGGATTAAAATTATAGTGTATACATGATGCACCGTCATATCAAACAACAGCTGGAATTTTTGCGTCGATATATGGCAATGGATCTGTATCTGTAGAGTAGGGAGGGTGAGTGTAAGCCCACAGTATTTAGGCCACATGTGACCCATTGTACATCCTCCCGAGGAGTTGTCCTCCTAGGTTATTGTCCATCCTGTCCTTTCCAGGAAGGTGGACAGGTCACTGGGAGACATCTCCTTTATATCGGCATGTGTAGGCCAAGACTCGCCGAACACACACTCTCTTATTGACGATAACAAACTTTTTCTTCGAATTTTTTATTACACAGCAACTTTTTTGGTGAAATTTTTATGTCATTTACTACAATTTCATATATTCTTTGTGGAGGAAAAACAACTGGTGCCTAGCACACACTCCTACCCACACTATAAATTTAATTGAAGATGCGTTTTACTAAGCAGTAGTTTCATCAGTTGAACTGGTAAATTCAACTATTCTGCAATGCCTTTTATATAACAGTCGGTAGGTACAGAACTGTATCAGATAAATTATTAATTCTGGTAAAACAGGTAAACCTTGAAAAAACAATTACAATGCTAGGGAAACGGGTAACTCATTAATATTTCAATTCTTGAAAATAAGTTAACAACAATAGTGAGTTAATCACTTTTTGATGGTCCTTTAAAAGGAAATTTGAATTTTTGTGAATATCGATTTCCAGAGATTCCAGAAAGTTCAATTAAACAAAAATTAATAGTTTATCTCGTTGAGCATTAAGGCGGAATTGCGTTATGTTGTGGTGTGTTGTGTTGCTATCTGACGTGACGGCAAGTGTACAGAATATTCTGTCGTGTCCGGGTGAGCTCTGACGTTATTTCGAGTCTGCTAATGTTAAGCTTATTTAAAAAGAAAAGAAAGAGAAAATATTGCGTTCATCCAGTAAATGATTTGAGAGTGAGTCGAAGCGAATATAATTTACTAGTGAAAGAACTAAGAGTGTGATGAAGAAAGATGTCATCAATAACATCNTGGAGCATTTTTCAGTTTTTCCCCGCCTAGAAAAAATTTAAGATCCGGGGCTGTATATAGTCACAGTATAGCTCTACTGTGATATAGTGTAGAGTGTTTTGATGCGTCATAACACATCGCCTCCCTACAAGCTGCACTTCAGTAATATAATTCTAACTGTTTAAATTGAAAAGGGTATATTTTTAGTATTTTTCTTTCATGTAATTTAATGTTTATATGAAAATAGCTGTTTCGGGAGTTCTTTTTCTTTCAGTTTGTGACTGAAAGTTACTTCTTTGCATGATCTACACATCTTTGTATAGAGTTAAGGTTTGAAACTGATTACTTTCCTCATTTCTTTGGATCTAGATTTTCTTTTCCATAATTCTAACTATACTAAAAGTATGGATACGATATTCTTATGGCGCGTCACGACACGCTCCGACACAATAATGTAATCCTGGCTTTATAACTAACTACTGTTATATAAAAGACATTGTACACTAGTTTAACTGATGAAACTAATGTATTGACACACATCTTGGATTAAAATTATAGTGTAAACATGATGTAACTAATTATTATTATGAATACTGTTACTAGTTTCCATCAAATAATGGATCAGTGTATTTATCAAATCAAAACAACTGGTGCCAACCTGAATCTGACACGTAATTTGAAAATTAAATTGCTACAGTTTATCAATCTATATTCCTTTGTATTTCCGACTATGGAAGATTAAAAATTCACAAAAATTTTCAGAATGTTGAAAACCTATTATAAAAAAAAATTCAATTTCACCTCAATTCCATATAGAAACTAATTGATTAGACTTCCAATATGATCATTAGGCAATAGAATTGAAAACCCTATATGAATCAGTTGGTGAATATTAAGTATGTATATTTATTTCAAGTACTTCACCTACCAACTAATAGATTCAATAGAGCAATTGTTGACTGAATTATTCGAAAAAGGTCTAATACTTATATCGGAATTATTTTCATTGGATCTGTCAGATTTGTGACTCATCTCGATTTTTATTGATTAGAAATTTACTAAATGTAGTATGAATAAATCCATTCCACTCTCTAATATATGCCACAGATTATGAAATGGAAAAGTCACATACTAGATGTGCTGAAAAGTTTGTAGGCTAACACACAGATGGCGCCACAATTGATGATTCTGATTAGTGATTGAAGCTGTTTCACCACGAAAAACCCGAATTTATGCGTCGATTAGTGACAATGGATGAAACATAGCCTATTTATTTATGCTCCACTTGATTATGTTTCTAACACTTTGAAAATATTATATGTTTTATTGTATTATTTTATCCATTATATATTGAATCAATTTATATATTGACATGCCATAAATGTATTTATATATGTAACATGGTGAAAATCTATCTATCTATCATCATTTCACACCAGAATCAAAACAATCGTCATCTGAGTGGACTGCACGGGTGAACCGACTCCAAAGCGTGCAATGACACAACAGTCGGCTGACAAGAGTATGGTATCAGTATTTTGGGATGTGCATGGTATAATATTGATCGGCTATCTTGAAAAGGGAAAAACCATCAACAGCAACATAGCATTTTTGGAGCGTTTAAAGGACGAAATCGCGGAAAAGCGGCTCCATTTGAAGAAAAATAAAGTGCTGTTTAAT